TGTTTATGCCCAAGTCTGCCCCACAGCATGGTGCAACTCCAAATCTGACTGTTTTCCCTTGTGACTGACAGATTTATTTTGTATTTTCCTAAAACTGGATGTGTTTTACTTTTGAACTGTTTTTCTCTTCCTGTCAGATCCCCGAAAATGCAGCTGAATTGCTGTATATTCTGATTAAACACAACTGGGGTCTATCTCAGTCGGAGCTACTCAAGCTCCCTTCCAGAAAATTGCGTCGGGTGTGATAATCCCAACTGACTCTCAATGAGCGGTAATTGCCATAACCTCGTACAAAAAGATGTTATGTCGGATCGGACAGACAATCATATTCTGTGTGTTTTTAGTTAATGAGTTTAAACAACTTTTCAAAACCAAAGACAGTATCGACAGGCAGTAAGAGAACACAAGTGCATTTTAAGATCAATATCATCATCTTTTTTACCCCAGTCATCCATATCATAGCATATCTACACTGAGCCTTTGTTCTCTCTTTCTCTTTTCTTGAAACAGTCTCTCGTATACTCAGTCTTCAGCATCCTCTCTTGGTATAATGCTCAACCTGTTTTCCCTAAAGGGTGGATGAGACCGCTGGAAGCTTCTTTTTCATGGCGCAGTGAAACATGATAGAAAGGGATGAAATCATTGTTGCTGTTTCATCCCCTGTCATGATAGCTCCATTTCCCCAGATCTGAAACATTGGGAGGAGCACGTTTAAAACCAGTCTTTCCACTCGACTCGCCTTTCTTCCCGTTTTATCTGTGTGTATTTGTACTATAAATGTAACTATGTGTGCTGATAAGACTGTAACACACAGTGTGCTGCTCGACTGACAGCATCTGTGAGTGCGTGAGCGTTCGACTCGATAGTGCGTGTTTGTGAGAGTGCACATGTGTGCACCCCGCTGGTGACTATGTGTGGGCCTATTGGAGAACAAACTGTGCAGACACAGCCTGTCAGAATCGCTCTGCTTGTCTACACCCTGCATTCACAATACAGCCAGCTGACTCGCTTTCCTTCCTACTCCTCCTTTTCCTCAGTCTCCCTTCCTTCTCCACATCAGAACGCAAACATTCTGTAATATTTCTTGGAGTTATGACAACAAATTAATAAAAGCACTGGGAGGAAGGCTGAGAGGAGAAGGGTGTTATTTTTTTTACTCATAATTATTAGCTCTTAAATATAATAAACAGTTGTTACTAAAAACCTAGGTATTGGAGAAAGACAATGTTTTGATTCCAATGCCTTGAATTCTTGTTAGAAAATGATAAAAATTAGCATTTATTTGTTTTCACTTACAGCCTGATCTGTATAAGGTTTGCATAGTTAAAACATGCAAACTTCATTGAGAACACAAAGCAGATCCACTAACCAGGTACATGTCAAATTAGGTGTCTAAAATGAGCAGAATAGCAGCTGCAAATATTTTAGTATTTGCTGTCATGAAATTCAGAACCTATGCCGAATGACCAACATATACATTTTATTGGGAGGATAATATCTAAATGTAATTAGTTACCATCCAAATTTTGATATATTTAGCAAGTTTCAAAGTCAGGGGATTGGGGAGACAGAGAAGCTAACCTGTCTACTATCATTGGGGCCAAACAGGCTACATAGTTATGTGACACTAAACAGAGAATCCGTAAGCATGTGAAAATATTTAGACTGTCAGAAATCACAATAGCAGTATTAATAGCAGGAAAATGCATCTGGGGAGGACTGATAATGCAACAGGAAGCAAACAATCTTTATGTAATGAAACCAAAAAGAAATACACAGTGACGGAACTCTAATATTGCATCATGTGTAAGCCCGCAAACAGAACAGAACAGAAAATTGATCACCACTGAAAAAAAAACAACAAAAAACAATCACAGAAGATGTTAAAGGACATTAAAGCAGGAAGACAACTAAAAGGAAAAGTATTTAGCTTTCCAGAAAGAGCAAACTAATGTTTTTTCTTCAATGTTCCTTTATGGACTCCATAACAAGTAAAATTATGAATTAAACTATAATGGGTCTAAATTGGTTTGCAATGTTATGCTGCAGGCAGGGGTTGTACAGTAATCACCGGAGGAAAATACAGCTGTTTGGAGTTTAATTTTGCTGTCTGTTTGATAGCCTCTTCCTGGACTAACATAATGCAGAGAGAGTTGTCTTTTCAGACTTAGGCTTAAACTTAGAGAACTTTATTGTTATGTTGTATACACAGAGTGTGTACAAAACGAAATTTCATTTTGTACAGCTTCCAGACAGTGAATGAGCAGCAGCTTAGCAGTGAAATGAACATTTCCATTTCATAAAGTGCAGCAGCGATCGAATTTAAACAGTGCGAGAGAAAAACATGAAAAGGCATTGATGTGAAAGTTCAGAGCAGTGCAAAAACAAGCAAATATATGTGGTGCAAAAATGCAGTAGAAACTTTTTTTTTTTGTTGAGCTCTATTTGGTATGATGTTATCAATGTGATGCAGACTCTCAATTTAGATTTATTTTAGCAGTCTGATGGAAGTGGGGAAAAAGCTGTTACAGAAAATGCTGGACCTCCATTGAATGCTGAAAAGCCTCTTCCCAGAGGGCAGCAGGGAGAACAGTCCTTGGTGGGGGTGTGAGGGGTCATTGATGATATTACGGGCTCTGGAAATGCAGCACTGGGATGAAATGTCTTTAATGGAGGGGAGTAGAGCCCCGATGATCCTCTGCTGTTCTCACCCCTCCTCTTAAGTTGTTCTAGTCTCAGGCTTTGCCGCCTCCACACGAGGTTTACTTTTTTTTCAGGTTTTATAATTGATATTACAAATTACATATAAAAAAGTTTTTCTTTTAAATAGAACAAATACTTAAGTGCTGGTAAAGCATTGTCTTTATCTCAGTAGGGGATTTTTACAGAATTCAACTTTCAGTTTCTCAATCTGGTACAGAGACTGTATTTTAGCTTTCTAGCTGGTGTTAGCCACAATCGAAATTACCACAAGGGGGCTCTTCTTTTTCTTTTTTAAAGCAGTACTGTTCTTATCAGTATCTTGTGTTTATATTTCAGTTCCAGGGCAGGTATTATACCTGTTTTATGTTCTACATCCATTGTGGAACTGATGAATTTGCCTAATTCAAGCCGAGGTGTTTGGGGACAATGTAAAGCTGTTCCTGCTGATGGCCTGAGCTGTCCGCGGTGCTGAATAAACAAGTCATCACAAAAACTGTCTCTTCGCATAAAAAACTGCTGGGTTTTAGCAGGGGTGAGGTATTTTATAATATCTTAATGAAAAGCAACAGGAATAGTGAAAATTAAGCAAATTAAAATGTGGATTTATCTGACTCTTAGATGCATTCTGCATACTATTACTGATCACTAACTTTCATGTATTTTTCTTGATAAAATTCTGAAAACTTAAATCTATATTACATT